CACTAGAGCTACTCTTCCAGCACTACACACCGAGATCCTCCTTCCCCACGTCCGACAGACCAACACAACCCATGTCCCACATATCCAAGGATAACCGAGAATCCCTGTGACGCAAGGAAACTGGGTTTTCTGCCCACCCCTTTGGAACACAAGTGCTGTGGTGAGCTTTACCTTGATAAGCAAAAAGTTAATGAGACAAACCCATATTCACATGGGCTGCTGAATCCAAGGTCTTCACCTCTTACTCACGGCAGCACACTTACATTAACAGCTCCACCAGTCGCCGACACACCCCAGAGTCTATTACTGCTTGGATTTTCTCATTGGGGCCATCTGATAGGTAGGAGAGTGCCCAGCAGGCATCTGCCAGCAAGTCAGAGTCACTGCTGAATAATAATCGGGACAACACCGGCAAGCAGGGAGATACCTACAGTACAAATAACCGCAAAGAGAGTGAGTTTAGAAAAGGTTCCTTGACAAGAAGCAAGGCAGCTTTGTGTGCAAGCACTACCCACGTAACACCATCTTTGGGTGGGTAAGGTTCTTATCTGTATTTCTAAGCCCACCACAAGTAATGGCACTAAGGAACTGTTTATAGTAGCCTCAAACAAACATTTCCATTCATACATTTGAGACGTAGGACCTTATATCTACTGTTCCGGGACCAGTAGTCAGAAAGTATTGAGAGATTGACACAGTAATGGTAGTTTGGGATAGACGTTTCCTACATAGTTGACATCCCTTGTAGCAAAGGCGATTCAAGTTATAACGGCCTCCCCAACATTCACAAACCCAGGATAAAGGGTCATCCCTCCTCTAAACCAATATCCAGCTATCATCTTTTACCCTTCTTTAGAAGATGAGACCATGCAGCTTGGAGGACAAGCTCATGTAAGACGACCACCTTGTTTCCTGCCCCTTTGACAGCCCTGAACAGCCAGTATGGTTGACACAGCCACCCCACCTTACTCAGTAACTTGCCTAAGGGTGCATAGCCTTAGAGACTAATTACTGATCACTGCAGCTTCTCCAGCTTTATCAAGGGAATTGTCAAGTAACAGACCTTAACACTACGCTTAACCAAAATATGGAACAAAGGTCCTCCAGGCCTGCTTAGTTATCATGCTGCTACTGACCATCTCTTTCACAGGACAGTGGTACCAATGGAAGGGGTAGGGAGAAGAGAAGGCCCTCCATAAGTAACTCTTGTGAATGACTGCTATATTTTGGTTACAATTTAGAACTCAAAGGTTTTGAATTCTCTACCAAAGAAAATGGAACCTCACCTCTGGGGCAGCCTGCATGACCTAGACCTGAGGTCTGACTCAGGCAGCCCAGCAGGTAGACTGCCAAGGAACCAAGCGGTGGAAAGTTAGCAAGAAATAGGCAGGTTACAAAAGCTGCGTAGTAGCCCTGGTTCCAACAGACCCCTGCCTTATTCCCAGCAGAATATATTGTCAAAATTTAGCCATCTCCGTCAAATGTTTAGACTGAGATCAGCCAATTCCAACAAATGCTTCGTCTGAAGGTTTCTCTACAGGTAACTGGCCTCGAGGTCTTGATAGAGGTTAAGGGGGAACCCTGTTTCCTTTAACAGGAAAGGAGTCATTCCTCACCTTGTCAAATTCAGGTGGTGGATTCTTCCCTCTGCACAAGTTTGACAAGGCCCAGACGGCATTTCGAGTCATTGTCAACCTGGTGGACTTGGTGAGGAGCCTTTAAAAAGAAAAAAAAAGTTAGACTTAACCTGGGAATATAACTAAGGATGTGAAGAACTAGTCGCTCCCCCCTCGCCCTTGCTGCTTCTATCCGAAAGAAGAGGGGGTACTTCAAAGCAGCAGTGCTGCATGGAGCCCAGGATCAGAGGAGGAATCCCCCTGCCACTGACCCTGGGCTCCCTGTGGTGTTGCTGCTTGGAAATGCCACAAGGAGCCTGAAGCCAGGCTCCCCGCGGCGTTTCAAAGCGGCAGTGCCGCATGGAGCCTCAGGGCTGTTGCTACACTTCAAAGGCGAAGGCGCCCTATCAACAAATCGAACAGTCGATGCAAAATGCATTGATTATTCCATTAGTCAATGACGTGCAATTTAACATCCCTAGTTAAGTCAGTTTGAGTTGCCTTGACACTAGCACATGATTCTAAATGAAGAAATGTGATAAGAGTCCAGGAGGTTAGAGACAGCTGCACCCACTTGCTAAGCCCAGGTCTGAACATTCAGATCATGCTAATGTTGTATATTTCATGAGTCTCACATATTGACCATGAAGATAGATAAAATGTAGCTACCCTTAGGGCAGAAATAGCAGTCTAACAACACAACCGCTCTACACTGGAAGCATATAATGTCTCTAAAATTCCAGGGGGGAATTTTGGCTGGCAGAATGCAGTTTCCCAAAATTGAATAGGATAGGCACAGTAAGCATCCGAAGACTTATAGAGGGGTCTCTTGGGATCACGAGCGACCACAAATGATCAAGACCTCATTTTAGATCTCATCTGAAGACTTCAGCAGCTTTAGGTCCCCAGAATACTAGCTCAGTACTGACCCAGGAACAGTGCCAGCAGCAATACAACCAGTGCCACTTTTTCCCCTCCTTCCAAGAAAAGCCTCTAGACTACACAACTGTATGCCAATTATGGGGAGAGATTTGAAAATGCTTTGAGTAAACTGGGACGTCCACTGGTGGCCCCCTCATTGCCAATGCTGACAATAGGGAAGATTTTTTTCCATAAAGTGGATTGCAGGAGAGAAAGCCTCTTTTGAAAGAGCTTCCACTGACATTCAAGGGTGGCCACCACCTGATAGTTCAGCGTTGAACTGGGATTGCTGAGAACAAAGCTTCTAGTTTAATGGGCTGAGAAGTCCTTCCCACCCAGCTTTAAGACTCTTCATGAAGTTAGAATGGACAAAGTGGGGCTTCTCACATTGACTATGATCAGCTCTGTGTGCCTGTCACCAACCACCACCAATAAAACCAATCCCTTAGCTCCCAGGTAGCAGAGGCACCTGCTGAGCCTCTAGAAGACTCAAGTCAGCAGATCCTGCAGGAAAAGGCTGTTGATTTGCCTGCACCATCTGTGGCAGAGCGCTGATCTTGCTACTGAAAGCAGCACCAGTTCCCCAGAAGAGGACAGGGAAAATGTAAACAGTTCTAAGTAATTAATAGGACTAGCACTCTCTGGATGAATTTCCCCATCTCTAGTGTGCTAAAGCGGCTGTCAGGATTCTGTGTACTGAACAGTGGCAGAGGGCACAGTGCAAAGATCTTCTTCTCTTCAACCCTAGAAAGACCTCAGCCTAATAGGTTCCTGAAGCATATAGTGTAGGGTATCCCCTTTGAGTTCCCTGAACCTACTGCGTATGCAGGTCTGAACAGCTCTGCAATTTCAGAATTGGCTGCCTGTCTTACTTGGCAATAGATGCCCATGACAAGTGAACAGCAAACATAAGGATGTGCGAGGTGATTAGCTATCTAGCAAGTCTGACATGCTGCATCAGACACTGGTCTGATGGCCTGTACACTGGCATTGGATGCACTAAGCTGACTGAGCAAACACTAACGTGCATTGTTAGGTAGTTCTGTTCACCCAACTTGGGCACCAAGAGGATGCTCTGCTTTAGTACAATGGGGCTTTAAGAACTGTATTGCCAAGTGTTCATGGCTACTCACAGTAACAAGGGAGGAAGAATAGCGCAGTCGAGGACATAATTTCTACACACAGAGCTGTCTCCAGCGATGTTCCCCAGGGCCCAGACAGCCTGTAAGGAGGGGAAAAAAAGCAGTCGTATCAGCATTCACACAGCTTCTGAAGAGAGGAAGAACAGAGCACTGCCCTAGGAAAATGTTTCTAGGACTCCAAGTAACTAGGCCAAACCAACAGAGCTCCTGTTCTGAAGCCAGTTGCTAAACACATTGGTGCATGTTAAGCACTTACAGCAGCAGTTCTCAAACTTTTTGGCCCGTGGCCCACCCCGCTCAAGACAAGTCTTTCCATGGACCACCAGCCAACCACCCATGACGACAAAATGGCTGCTGGGGAGGGGGTCTGGCTAGAAGGGCAGGTGCAGGGTTTCAGTGGGAGAGGGATGAGGGGTGTGAGGTCTGGGCATGAAGGATGAGAGGGATATGAGGTGCTTATCAGGCTCCATGCCGCCTTCCACTTCCAGGCACTGCCCCCACTGTTCCTACTGGCTGAGATTCTGGCCAATGGGAGCAGCAGGGAAAGCCTCTAGACAAACGGTTTCCTGCGCTGCTGTTTTCCCCCCAGCTGGAGGGAGGGAGAACAGCAGCACAGAGCTGCTTCTCTCTCCCCCCCCCCCCCCCCCCCCCCCCCCCCCAAAAAAAATCCTAGGACTTGAAATTTGTACTTAGATTCATATCTCCTTGCCTTTGGTACCTCCTGCAGATTCATAATACACAACAGCTTTGCCTTGCTTCAGCGGGAAGCTGGTGCTCCAACCTCACAGCAGGAGGGTGCAAGGTTGAGCAGCAGCACAGGCGCTTTTCAGCACACCCCACACCCCCCGTTCCCCCAACAGTGACCCACCTGCAAGATGGTTGCAGACCATTAGTGGTCTGTGGACCACACAGAGCAACGATGATGCTCAGCCTATCCCCTGAAAAGAGTGAATGAAGCATACCTGTTCCTGAACATCCTCAAAGTCGGAGTTTAACAGCTCTATGAAGATAGGAACTGCTCCAGAATCAATGACTATTTTTGTTTGTTGGGAGGTTCCCGATGCAATATTCGTCAAAGCCCACGCCGCTTCAAACTGAAACAAGCAGATCAGTAGCAAGTTAGAAAGGAGCCGCACAATGGCACAAGCCCAACAATGCTTACCAGAACACAACACAGGCTGTTGAATTTAGCCTGTCTTGTCTTCAGGAGGGTGGATTGTTGTACAAGGCAACAAGCTTTCCTCCCCAGTCTGGGAGGAGGACTGCTCACCCGGGGTATGTCTACACTACAGAGAAGATTGAAGCTGCTGCCGCCAATCTTCCAGGGTTCAAGTTAGTGGGTCTAGTTAAGACAGCTAATTCCAACCAAGAGGGGCATTCCGGTCGATGCCGATAATCCTGCTTCCACAAGAAGTAGGGGAAGTCAAAGGGAGAGTATTCTCCCTTCGACTTCCTGCAGTGTGGACAGCGCCAAAGGTCAAGTTAAGCTACTTCGACTTCAGCTACACAATTAACATAGCTGAAGTTGCGTCTTAATTCGAACTGGTCCCATAACGTAGCCGTACCCACAGTTTGCTAGTTTCTGGTCCAATGGAAGGCAGTCCTAGGGAAAGCTACAGCTTTTATAGGGGTGCAGTGGATTTGGGGTTAGACCCTGCCCCTCCCTCACACACCTGAAGCAAAGGGAATATCATTTTACAGATCTGACACTGAAAAACTGGAACAACTGCATACACTTGTCTCATCTCTCTGCCAAGTCTGCAGCTCACTTCCACTTTTGGCAGTCAGGCCTGGTAGCACTAACTCAACGCCTATTCAAACCAGTCTTCACTGAGGAATGCAGACTCAAGGAGGCCCAGAAAAGTTCCCAATCCCAACCAGATCTTTGTAGTGGGTGGGAAAGGAAGACACTGTTCTACTCCAATAGCCAACGCTATCCTATGCTACCCCGGATACCAACGTAAGTTGTGGCATTTATTGCTCAGTCCCACTGAGGCGAAGCTGCACATGTTGCTCTTCATCTCCCTTCACTGCCCTGTTTGACAAGCAGCTTGAGAGTGGGGAGGGGAAAGAACCTGTTTTAGGTCAGGGGCCACTGACCCACAGAAAAAGCAGTTGGGGGCCCATACACCCACACACAAAAACCCATTCTAGCCTAGGGATGGGACTGTTTAACTGGTAACCAATGTTCCCTCTAAGCTTTTCCATCCATGTGCAAAATAAATTGTTATATGCACCAAGGCATGTGCAGATATGCATCACCAGTAGAAACACATGCTGCTGACTCTGGGCCCTCTGCTAATCAGCTGGGCAGCATCTGAATCTCTCCTGGGTGCCCACACAAGCACTCAGCTTACAGGGAACACTGCTGGTAAGGCTTACTGGTTAAGGTTAACTGATGGGGGCTGGAGCAGCTCCCTGCCTGCTTCAGGCAAGGAGTTGCTCTAGCCCCACAGGGGGCCCACCAGCCACCAGAGCAGTCCCTGTTGAGGTCTACAGTGATGGGGGAAGGGCTGCCCTCCTGGCTTCCCTCCCTTTAAACGGTTAAACAATATATTAACCTGGTTATAAGAACGGCCATACTGGGTCAGACCAAAGGTCCATCTAGCCCAGTATCCTGTCTGCTGACAGTGGCCAGCACCAGGTGACCAAGAGAGGGTGGACCGAAGACAATGATCAAGCGATTTGTCTCCTGCCATCCTTCTCCAGCCTCTGACAGAGGCCAGGGACACCATTTCTATCCCCTGGCTAATAGCCTTTTATGGACCTAACCTCCATGAAATTATCTAGCTTCTCTTTAAACTCTATTATAGTTCTAGTCTTCACACCCTCCTCTGGCAAGGAGTTCCACAGGTTGACTATGCGCAGTGTGAAGAACTTTATTAGTTCCCATTAATTTCATTTGGTGTCCTCTAGTTCTTCTATTATGGGAACTAATAAATAACTTTTCTTTATCCGCCCTCTCCACACCACTTATGATTTTATATACCTCTATCATATCCCCCCTCAGTCTCCTCTTTTCTAAACTGAAAAGTCCCAGTCTCTTTAGCCTCTCCTCATATGGGACCCGTTCCAAACCCCTAATCATTTTAGTTGCCCTTTTCTGAACCCTTTCCAAGGCCAAAATATCTTTTTTGAGGTGAGGAGACCACATCTGTACACAGTATTCAAGATGTGGGCATACCATAGTTTTATACAGGGGCAGTAAGATATTCTGTGTCTTATTTTCTAACCCTTAATTCCTAGCCTTTTTGACCGCTGCCGCACACTGTGTGGAAGTTCAGAGAACTATCCACTAACTCCAAGATCTTTCCTGATCTGTCAGCCAAATTAGCCCCCATCATACTGTATGTATAGTTGGAGTTATTTTTCCCCCGATATACATTACTTTACACTTATCCACATTAAATTTTGTTTGCCATTTTCTTGCCCAATCACTCAGTTTGTGAGGGACTCCAAAAAACTCTCACCAGTCTGCTTCTGTCTTGACTATCCTAAACAGTTTGGTATCATTCGCAAATTTTACCACCTCACTGCTTACCCCTTTCTCCAGATCATTTATGAATAAGTTGAACAGGATTGGTCCCAGGACTGACCCTTGGGGGACACCACTAGTTACCCATCTCCATTCTGAAAACTTACCATTTATTCCTACCCTTTGTTTCCTGTCTTTTAATCAGTTCTCAAGCCATGAAAGGACCTTCCCTCTTATCCCATGGCAATGTAATTTACACAAGAGCCTTTGACAAGGTCCCTCACCAAAGGCTTTCTGAAAATCTAAGTATACTATATCTACCGGATCCCCCTTGTCTGCATGTTTGTTAACCCCTTCAAAGAACTCTAATAGATTAGTAAGACATGATTTCCCTTTACAGAAACCATGTGACTTTTGGCCAACAAATTATGTTCTTCTACGTGTCTCAATTTAATTCTTTACACTAATTTGCCTGGTACTGAAGTTAGACTTACCGGTCTGTAATTGCCAGAACTAGATTTTACATCCCTAATCCAGCCCCACAGTGGTGGCACCGAGCCTCCAGCTTGCTGCAGGCTGGATCAAATTAAGCAAAGGGTGGAGGGGATCCAGCCCATGAGCCATAGGTTCCCCCACACCTACTTTAAAGCTTAAGTTCCCACTCAATTCTGCTTGGAGTGGGAGACCAACTGACCAGGAAGACTATGATCATTTTCACAGGTGTAGGAAAGCATAGTCCCCTCAAAAAAGAGACTCATGCTCTGCAATTTCTGGGCCCTAAAATACCATCTTTGCCAGCTCACTGCTGACGATTCACACTGCTCAGCTCCCAAGTGTCAGTTTATGTAAGTGCCGTTTATTCACAATAGGACTCCTTCATGATACTGTTTACCTGTAGTGTGCAATTTTCACTTCTCTTCAGGAATTCAACAAATCTGTCCACAACTCCCTGAGTATTTATCACTTCATCTATTGGAGGATTCGGCTCTGGAAGAGTAAGTCAGTGTCAAATCTCAGGTAAGGGCATATAAATGTCAATTCAGGAAGTCTAATTTCATTGCACTAAGTCATCCACTCCAACTGTTTTTAGTTGTACTTGCTCTGACAAAGAAACTAGTCAGAAGTTTCTTCCATAGTTCACCAAGCTGTACATCACCGGAACATTTTCTAAATGCTGAAAAGCCAGTAAAAGGCAATACTAGTGGTCAATACAGGGTTTCATATTCATGCGCCCCCCCCTCCACGTTAATCAGAAACAGACATGACAGTGAGCATAAGTTACATTAGATGGAACTCTTCTGTCCCTAAACCCAAAGTTATTAATTCTCTGTACAACACTAAGATAGTTCTAAATGATTCAGACAGCTAAGACAGTTACCTATGAGAGCTTATGAGCCAGCTTAAAAAAGAAAAAAGAGCTTGACTGTTACCTTTTGAGAGCAGTTTCCTGAATTTCTGGGTGGTTGCTAGCTGTAGATCAGGGTCCTCTGAGAAAAGCATCTCTACCATCTCTCTTGTGATCACTCCCTCCTAAGAGGGTGGGAAGGGCAAGAAAACCCGTGTCAGAGAATCACAACTCCAAACTTATGGTTGAAGACACACAAGTCAGAAACATTTAATGTCACCAGAATCCTCTGCTCCCCCTTCTGATCTGTAGAATAGATGTCAGGGCCACACTACTGTTGAAAATCTAATCCTGTAAGGTTTTTAAAGCTCACTACAATCCCATCTGCAATGTTCTTAGAGATGAGGACAAGGGGTTATGAAGAGCAGCAAAGTGAATAGGTACCAGGCCTTGGTACTCCTTATTTGAAAAGGGTTTAAAGTTTATTGATTTTGTGGTCCCCAGAATTAAGTCATACGGTGCCTTACCCCAGCTGTGGCAGTGCTGACATAGGAATCCATGAGAAGGCTATCAAACATGGCAGCATCTTCATTAATAAGTTCCACATTTCTCCTTTTAAACAGCTGAAAAGACATTACAACCAGAGAGTGAGTGACATCTGTCACAAGGCAAAGTCCGACTTAGAGACCTCACAATTGGGCAGTTTGGTTCCACAAATGGAACATGCCATCTGCTAGTATCTGCTAACAGGGGAGCAGCAGCTTAACACCTCTGCAGAAGTTTGACCTGGAAACCCTAGTAAGAGTGGACAGAGTCCCTACCTTTACTTGCACCCATGCAATTCACTGGCACTGTACAACGTAGGCAGGTGCAGAGTGAAGGAGAGCCTGACGGAGAACCAGGCACATGCAGAGCTGGGGGGAAAACTTGTAGCATGTGTCAGTTCTTCATTTGGTTCTAGCTCTCTCATTTTCACATATGCCAACTACAAAAAGACCCAGGGGGAGGCAAAGCTGCAGGCCATTCATTTTTACTTGTTCTTCCTGCTCAAGAGAGGGTAATGCCATTTTTTAAGCCAGTCATGAAGTCCTTAGGTGTGCTCACCCCTCCCCCAAAGAGGGGAGCTCTAGGAAGCCTTCAACTCATCCCTAATCACAGAAAGCCAAACAGAATTCCACTGGTATCTGGAGAGCTGTTTCTGCAGCATGTGCAATACCCGTGATTCCCCACAGGGAGTGGAAAACTTTCCAAACAAATCACATTCTGAACAAGGGTGTGAAGAGAACTAGCAACATTCCACAGCCCTATGCAGAAGGGGCTGGAGGAAGGGGAAAGAAGGCTGGCCAGCAACTCTGCAATAGCTGGCACCTCAAAAAGGGCAACTGAGTTAAGAAGGCATTTCTGGTTAAGACTGAACATCCCCCACCATGCCAGGATACCAAAGGGCAGGTCACCTGTTGCTCTCGTTTCTGTTTGCGTAGTTGGATCCCCTCCTCTTCCCTTCTCCGACGCATTTCCTCAGGATTTAGGGCTTTGTTTTTGTAGCTCTTCATTCGATAGTTATCCTTGTCCTTTGCGGGACTTGCCATGGTTTCTATGAAAGGAGAAAGCAGAAAAATAGATCAGATTTCACTGCAGTCGTATTGTCCTTCTCCAAGGAAACTGGGCACCACTCATGCGCCCTTGCACAGAACAGTTCACTTTAACAGTCTCTTAAGACCACAAGATGCAGTTTAGATATTCAACTTACTGGAAAGTGCATTACTGACCTACAACTGGCAGGTTATTTTATCAGCTAGAGAATGACAGACCTACCCCTCTGAAAAGCAACCTGGGCTTCTACTTCAGAGGTAGACTTCTCACTCAACTATTCCACTGTTCCCAGGAGACAGAGCCTGAAGCTACCTAGTTTTCAATACTTTAGATTTGAGACTGTAGTAAGGTGCACAAAGTAAACAGCATTAAAGTTATTCTTCCTTCCCTGCCTCCCATCCTCTACTGCAAGCCAATCGGTCAAGAATTCAATGGGCCAGTAACCACAACAGCATATACTCAGACATTTCAGAGCAGAAGGTGTTGCACTGAACTCTGAGACATTCCATTTAGACTCATTTTATGTTGCAAAGTAGGGAGCTGTTGCAATTTATGAAATTCACACTTCCTAAATTTAACACTGCACAATCCACTCCTAACCACTCAGTGGTGAGCACAAAAAGTGTCGGAAGACAATGAAGTCTAGACAAGGCATAAAAGATCTGGACTGTCAATACTCCAGTCATCTGGAGAAGTGGGTTGTGCCCACGGAAGCTCATGGTACCATCTACATGTTCTGTTAGTCTTTAAGGTGCTACTAAACAATTTGTTGTTTTTTTAAAAGCATAAAACATTCCAGCAAAATTCACTTCAAACAAACTTCAGCCTATTTCCGGGCCCCTTTTGGAAAAAAAAAGATGGGGGGGGGAGAAGAGAATATTACAAGTATGCACCACATAATTCAGCTTGGAATGGCATGTAGGCCAAGCTTGTCCAAAGAGCTAAATTATTTGATTGTGTTCAGCTCTGAGAAGTACTGGAAATTATTCTGTTAGAATTAGTCATGTGTTTCATAAGAATATTTTAAACTTTAGTGCCTAACATTCCACTCTAATTTCACAAAAACAAACATTCTTGTATTTGGCACAGGGTGAGCAATCGGCGCTAACTATCCAGAAAAAAGGAACTCGGATGTAAAAGGACATAAATCTCTCAGCAGTATCCAGTTTATGTAAACATTGTACTGCCTCAACAGCATTAAAAATGCGCTATTCGAGTATAGATTCAGCCAAGCCATGTGTTTAGTGTTTCAAATCATGCACAAGCTACATGTGGCCACATTGGAAAGGATCCAGCAGAGGACAACCAAAATGATTAAGAGGCTGGAGCACATGACCCACAAGGAGAGGCTGAGGGATTTGGGCTTTAATGTACAGAAGAGAAGAGAGTGAGGGGGGATTTGATAGCAGCTTTTAACTACCTGAAGGGAGATTCCAAAGAGGGTAGAGAGAGGCTGTTCTCAGTAGTGACAGGTGGCAGGAGGAGGAGCAATGGTCTCAAGTTGCAGCGGGGGAGGTCTAGGTTAGATATTAGGGAAACACTTTCCCTAGGAGGTGGGGAAGCACTGGAATGGGTTACCTAAGGAGGGGGTGGAATCTCCATCCCTAGAGATTTAAGTCCAGGCTTGACAAAGCCCTGGCCGGGATGATTCAGTTGGGGTTGGTCCTGCTTTGGGCAGGGGGCTGGACTCGATGACTCCTGAGGTCTCCTCCAGCCCTAGGATTCTACGAGCAGGTATTATTCCCAACATGTTCTAAGACACAATCTACAGAATGTAGAGTAAAAGCATGCATGGAGAACACAAAATAAAGTCAGTTCAAGTCTCTTTCCCCCCCCCCAAAAAAAAAGCTTGGCTGCTCCTAAGAGTCCTACCTCAGTACTACTCCACCCACACCGGTCTTCTCTAGAGACTCTCCCTCTTATTTCTAGGTGAGTTTCAGCCACAGGCCTCAGTGAGTTAGGGGAATACATCATCATGGAAGGGTGTTCTAGGCAAACACCATCAGTGTGTTATACTGGGGTACACACTATGATCTATACTAGAAGACCACTGCGAGCTAGGCACCCCAAAGTAGCAACTGCAGCATAGACAGGATGAAAGATCTCATTTAAAGTTGTTCGTTTCTCCTTCACAACATTCAGGTCATTCTACTGCAGAGCTCACTTTCCTTTGTACAGTCCTTCCCCCTTGGTCAGGCTCACCAATGCTAGCAGTAGCCTAGATTTAAGTGAAGCTGATTTGAAGTGGTTTTCCTGTGCACTCACCAAGCATTCTTCAAAAGCACAAAATTACTTGTCAAGTGTTAGGTGGCTCTTGTTTAACCATCCCTAGCAGACCAAAGAGGTAAGCAATGGTCCCTGTAAGCTGTGCCCTTGTGCGGCTGCTCAGATTCAAATGCCACCTGATTAGCAGAATGCCCACAGCTAGGTTTTTGGTTTTACTGGTAATGCACATTTGCACATGCCCTTATGCACATCAAAATGATTCCACACATGGATGGAAGAGCTTAGAGGGAATATTGGAGGTAAGTATGAAAGCTTGCATCCCAATCTGAGACCACAGCAAGCTATGTGTTGCCAGGCTTCTGCCCCTCATGTTATGGGAGGTATGAGTGGCTTAGTCAAGATGCATTAAATGGAAAGATTTTCAAGACAGTGTGTAATTTAAGTTGCAAGTTACTGGCTTAGTGTAGGACAAATTTCAGAGACCCAGTGTTCGGGTCAGCTTCTATTATAGCAGGTCATACAAATGAGATGTACAAGTGTCCAATAATGTCAAGGCAGGTTAAACAGTCAAGAGAAATCACCTGTGAACATGAAATCACCACTCCAAGCAAGCATGTCACAAGCAGACAGTACCTTATGCCCATGCTGTCCTTGATGGGAAATGGACAAGCAGGATAACTGATGGCCAGAGAACAGAAGACATGATAGATTGCATGAGTGGCAGGATGGGTTGCAAGACGGCAAAAACGGTTTACTTCTAATACTGATTAACGTCGCAGAGCCCAGAAAGAGGCAGTTCCTCACTGATAGAAGAGTAGTTAAATCAAAGAATGAAAATCCTTTTAAAAAGCCTGCTTGTTCTGCACTGGTAGGCTTACCTTCTCAGACACAGTACTCAAAACAAGACACTTTTAGTCTTTTAATTTAGTGATCCTGGATTGCTGCTTAGAAAAGTGTATACAGCCTGAAAACGTGTGTAATAGCTCCAAGCATTTCTATCACTGGCAGATGATACAACCTTCAGAACTACCGTTGGGCCCTCTTCAAACCAAAGTGCATTTTCACATTTACCAGGGACCTGTTTCTACTACACCTAAGCCAAGGAACTGGAGTAATTTTTTTAATCAAGGTCCAAATTTCTTGAACAATGTATAGTCAAGATCTAGATTCCAAAGAAATCATCCCTGCTGTTGCTTTTAAATAAAAATTTTCATGTTCTGGTCGAAAGCATCTAGCAGTCCAAATTTTGCCTGCAGTTGGCCTATTAACTACTCTAGCTGAGGGACCCCAACTATAACAGGTAACTGTTGTAACAGGAAAGACCTAACGAAGTTTCTATGACTAGGACAAAAGCTTGGACAGTCTAGGGGATTAATCCTGTTAGGATAATAGTGTAGAATTATGTCACAGCCAGGTCTCATATCTACAGTATAGTTTTATGGATGGGGTTTTTTCCCTGTCCGACTTCAAACCAATGTACTTTTTAAACCCTTGGAAAAAGAATGAACTGAAGGCTAATCTAGTCATTCATTTGGTTTGGGTCTGTCACATGTGTATAGTAGGGATGTGAAAGCTTAACTGTGTATACAGTTATCTGATCAGACTGGGCTCCTGTTTAACTTCAGTTACGTGGAGGCTCTGGGTACATGTGGGGAGCCAGCATAAAAGCCAGCTACTTGCGTGAACTGGCTTCCGGGGAGTTGCCTGTCCCCCTTTCCCTCCTGCCTGTAACCACTGAAATTGTTTAATGGTTACACGTTCTAACATCCCTAATCTAAAATTCAGAGGAATAACTGGGAATTTGCCAAGAATATACTTAACTAGTGAGCTTGAGTAAAGCACTGCATTATATATGCTAGGGAAGTAAAACCCCCATGTAATTTATTAACCGATTAAATGTAATGTTTAACTGATCAAAAAGGGTGTGGGGACTGCCCCTGCCCATTGCACATCCAGGCCTACTGTGGGCAGAGACTTGCCTGAGCCCAGAGGACAGGGGCTGGCCTAGTGCAGCTGGAGCAGCCCCTGCCCCCCACGTCCCTGGGCCCGCTGTAGACAGGGGCTGCTCCAGATGGGCTAGAGCTCCCTTATCCATGGAGGAGCCCCCTCTGGTTAACCTTTCACATCCTTAGTGTGGTTAGTCATACTTGGAGAGATGAGAGAGACGTGAAGACCAAGTGCAAACTAACTTCTCCCACATGCCTCTCACTAAGGTTGACTGAGAAAATAGGCAGGTCATGGCAACTAAACCAGAGGGTAGAATTGATTGAAATTTAAGACTATGAATTTTGTATCTAGAAGTCAGAACAGGCACGCTAGAAATGCCAGGATAAGTGGTCTGCCCCTAATCTTTAATTGGAGTGAAAATGCAGCAGCTATAAGTTCTATAAGTAACCATTCAGCTACGTTAACATTAATGGCTGCAGTTACTGTTTACAGCCATAACAGCTAGTTGTGTTCTAAAGATTACAAAGCCATCCTAAAACATTCCAGATCAAGACCTCCCCTTCAAGGAGCGGGGTCTCAAGTTAGAGGCAGTTTTAACAAACAGGCACAAAAGCAAGAGGGAGGAGAAAAATGGCTAAATGGTTTAGTACAACATACAGGATTACTAGCCTGTTAGTCATAAATAGCCAAATGACATAGGACAGTTCAGCTGCCTGGAAGTTTGCACAATCCCAATCTGTTCCCCCCTGGGCATGCCTTGGCACTCTGGACAGCTCTGAGGTTCTGGGAGCCAGGGAAACTGTTCAGGGAGACCAACACCAGATGGAA